GTGCAGCCTCCGGTGGAATTTTTCTCCACACCTCCTCTACATTCCAGAATTCTTGCGGCTGTACACCATCATCCATTGCCCGAATGTTTTCCAGTTCCTCTTCAAAAGGCACCTGCATTCTTGTAGGTCCTGACGTCCTATTGTAGTCGATGACTTTTTTGAATTTATATTCAGGACAGTACTATCACGAGCATCGCATTGCTTTTACAGACTGCTTCAAGCTCATGGGCGATGGCAGCATACATTTTTGTTTTGATTGCTGAACTACTTGAAAGGTCCTAGTTCGTTCTTGAATATGCTTAACATGCCCATGGAGAGACGTGTCTCGCCGTCGTCTCACTTGCAACCTGGAAAAGTGAACCAGCTCTCGTATATATGCAGCACATATGTTCTATTCCTTTGCCCAGTCTTTTTATGCATTGTATATTTAATATTCTTTTATATCGATGAAGAAAATCAATCCCTCACACGTGTCTTCCGTACGAAGTAGACCAATAAAGAATGCTGTTTAGTATATGCAAGGCCTTCCAACTATATACTGATCGCTTTGCATGGTGCAGCTGGTGTGGGTTGTTAGTTATAGCACACCGAAGGATGAAAACATGACCTAAAGCATAATTTTTGTTTTTGGATGCACGTCTGTAGTTTCTGTGTTCATTTCTATGGTTGCACAGACAAAGCAAAATGGTATAGCAATGAACATGTGCTGGAGGGGGAGCTTTTGTCATGTTATTGGCCTGTCATCCGCTGTAGTGCTTCTAGTCTTCACCACACAGTCTGATTAAAGGAGGAGCAGCGCACATAATGCATTCAAAAGATAGAAAGGTAGAAAGAAAATGCAGTGAGCTCTTGCATATTACCTTTGCTTGTGGATGCACCAGGAGCAGGACCACTAAGTGCGGCACCTAACCCCTCGCTGGTTTCTACTAGAAATATGGGAAATAGCCGACATCTTTAGACGGGCGAAACGAGCCACTGGGTCTCAAGTCACTTGTCAAAATACGATCGCGAATTACGTAACACTTATCACAATTCGGGATTCGCAGGAGTTTCGTACAACTTGATGGTGCTAGAACAAGCAAGACGATTTGCACAAGCACACGTGGAAATTAAGCTCCCTGAAACATGTGGACCGCGAATCTAGGATCCATCAACTACTCCACTTCTTGCTTACCTGCGTTTCTGACGAGCTGCTGGCCTGGCACGAGGCACCTTGCTCGGGTCGCGTCTCGGCTGAGGCTGCAAAGCAAAGAACGAACGTGTTGCCATTCTCGTTAGGCACGCGCTGTACCAATGTTGCTCTGTACTTTGCTATACCTCTACTTAAGCACTGAATTTTAAAAGTAACACGATCCTTGCAATTATTCAGTTGTTGCTTTGTGGTTTGAAAAGGCTGCACAAAAGTGAATAAAGAAGTTTCAATACTCACCTCTGGTTTGGTTGCTCAGATACATAAGGATCGGATACGCCTCAGCGTTGATAGGTATCCGCGTGGTACTTGCGCCACTCATTCTAAAATTAATTTTTCTTTTGATAAAATTCCACGATTCAGCAAACGCAAAACAGGAAGAACGGCAGGGAAAGCAACCATTTGGAGCAATGGAACAAAGGAGTGCTAGCACGATTTGATATTTTTTTTAGCTCCAAGGTGGTAATAGAAAGGGTATAACTTGTGCCACTCACGAATCGGTAGTTAAGTAGTGACAATAAAACAAGCGCTCCAAGCGAGGAAACACGGAGCGATTCGCCATTTTCTGGCATTTTGTATTTGGGTGCCGAGGGTCACGTGGTGTCAGCCGGCGCGTTTCTGGTTGCCTGCGCCGCGGGCATGGTCGCGCCGGCAAAAGACCACCCGAATTCGGCGCGGGATAACCTTTGCTATGACTGGTAACGTTTTTCTAAAAAAACCTGTTACTTTTTTAGTTGCCCGTTATGGAAATATTAAAAAAAAAAAAAAAACACAACGCCTTGACAGGGTGGCGGGCTACTTCCGGCCGCCATTACAGAGGGAGAGAAATACTTCCGGTTCTCCTATGTTTACCTCCAGTTTAAGTGGGTGCGCCGCGACTCTTGGTTTATTGGCGAGCAATTCCGAGAGAGCTACGCACTAGAAATGCCCGAGTATCGTGATTGTAAGTTGCCGATGCGTACCGGCACGACCAAAATGCCACACGTGAAGTTATTTCAACTATCTCGACACAAGGGACTCCGCCGAGCCTGGGTGATCGCAGGGCGAAGGGCATTAGTAAATGATGTTAGCCTATTTCGACGTGCTGGCGACAAATGAAGCACCGCGACGAACCCGAGAATGCGGCCCAGGCGCCGCGGAACCTTGACCGACCATCTCCGTACAACGGTGGACCATTACGGCACGTATAAGCGCAATGTGCAAGGTGCTCTACGAAAGAAACCTCGAGTACGGCAGCAAGCAAGTGAAAACATTAGGAAATTGTACATTATAGACATCTGTCGCGTAATAAAAGCTTTCGGAAGATTGTCTGCTAAAACCAAGACCCGGCTCGGTGACTCCAGCTGGGAAGCTCGGCGCTTATCTTCGGCGAATGGTGGAGGTGGGTGCCCACCGCCGATGCCGTACCGTTCACGAAGTAGTTGAACGCGTTTAGGGGTTTTTAGTTTTTATTTCGTTCCCGGGTATATGAACCACGCTAGGTGAATATGTAGCCCTGAATAGCGGCCACGATACCTTCGGGAGATCTGTCATTTTCTTGAGGAATAAGTGCTGTTTCTTTTCAGTGAATAGGAAGAGATGTCGATCCCTTATGAGTAAATTTCTGGAGGTACCTTAGTTAGTCCTCAGCGATGAGATTTTGAAAGTATGCTCTACTTACTGAGGGCCCTCCAAAACAAACCAACCGGTAGTAAAATACTCCCCCCGGTAGTTCGGCCATTTTGTTTTGTGCTTTTGTTTACCTCTGCACACCCTGCGTATACGAAGAGGGAATGCGATCTATCACAAAAAAAAAATAGCTTAAATATTTTATTAAAACAAGCAGGCATATTACATGTCATGTAAGAGAGGCGAGCATGGGTGACATTTAAAACAATACTAAACATGAATAACTAACAACCAACATTAAAATAAACACGCTTTGGTGTGCACTAAAAGAGGAACAGGGACCAAGGACTAGGAAACAATGAGCACAAAAAAGAAACACACAAGGAAAAAACACAGTCAAGAAAACGAAACATTCTATTCAGTGGCTTTGTGAAAATATACTGGACGCTTGTGAAGTTTGTATTGAGAGTAGTTCAGTTAAGTATAACACACACATAATGGGGGAGTGAAAAATATTTAAAGTATGGCGTTGAGACAAATAGGCATTATAAGATAAATAGATTTTACAATTTGTTCAAAAGTATTTAGACATCTGAGAACAGAGAATAGAGCGCATGATTGGATTTGCGCAGGGAAAGGCGTGCAGTATAATTGAATTCCTTTTTTTTTCAATTTGAATTTCGTAAACGAAATGCTTTTTAGAAAATATTTACAATTATTGAGACTGGAAAACTTCGACACCAGTCACTAACACACAGAGTGCAAAAAGAAAACGTTTTTAGGGGCATTTATGAAACAATAAAAAACAGTCGCCATGGCGCAGAAGTCGTGCATGTGTTTGTAGTTGCCGAAGAATTTTAGAGCCGTGCAAGGAAAAATGTAGCTTGAAATTGAATGTCCTTTTCAGCAAATTTGCAATCTTAAAACCAGAAAATATCTACTAGAAGTGTGTGCCAAGGTGTTTGGACATTCAGATTGTTGTATTGTGGAACTAGAAATATTTTTAACAAAATCGTCACAGTAAAACTGAGTGTACATACGCTCTCCTGACGATGATTTAATATTCACTATACTATATTTAGATAGAAGAGTCATTAAAAACATAAACTGTAACTACACTAAAAGGAAACAATAATCAGATGAAACAAAACAAACTGTTTACACGCACAACAGATCACATCTCTTTAACAAGAGGACCATCCTCTTTAATAGAAACAAGAGCAGCGTGCAAAGAGTAGTAACCACAAAACTTCAAGAAAATAGACACCTCCAGTAAAGAAATTAATTACAACACAGTTCCATCTGCTTTCTCTTACCCACTGACCACACACGTGCCACAAACAACATCCGACGACGTCAATGTTACAAACTTGTCTTTCTCACTCACAGTGCAGAAGGAACAAAATGTTCGCTTTAAGAAACAACATAGCGGGGCATTTGGAAGAATTAACTGTTTTGCTTATATTTCAGTCAATATTGATTTTGGTCGATGTAACAAACTTAATCGTTCACTAGTACCCCCACATCACTCCTTTTCAAAGATTGAGCATTCCAAAAGCTGTTTCCATATAGTTTCCTTCGAGGTTTTTGTGAAACTTACACATACGACTCGTTTAGGTAGAGTAAAATAACACTTTAATGGAAGCATGAAACAAAATGTTTCATTGCCGTGGCTATCAGGTGCGAAAACACGCATCTTGAATAACAAATTAATAAATATTGGTTAGAAATACTTAATAACAACAATTTTAAATTGTTGTTAATAAGTGATCAACTTGCCACTAAGCACAGGTAGTGGAAGAACGTATGATCATTATCGTTGGGTGTCCGTTCTATCCGTCAGACAAATAATATCCCCCTCGATGTACTGGCTTTTTTTACAAAACACTCTATGGTCACAGTCGGCTTTAAACACGAACGACCTGATTGGCCCTCGAGCATGTTATCGCTTTGCATTAAATGAGATTGCGGCGTTAGGCGACAAAAAGGCCAAAGTAAAATCACGTCACACACTGCAAGTCGCACACTGCATTTCTTATTCTGTCAGTGTCTACAGGGCGATTCTCGGCCTTTTTGTCTAAGATAAAGCGTAGTTTCTACAGGGCTTTCTCGCTGCACAGTACCGTTCTTTCAATGGACTTGAAGCACGAAGGACCGGACAAGCACGATGATATACATCGATCAGTGTGCAAGATCGAAATTCTCAGTAGCGGTGGCCGTAGCCATGGTGGTGGCCGAAAGCGTAAGCGGGAACGTGGAGCTTGGCGTACGTGGGCGCCACGTAGGCGGCGGCAGCCTTCACGACCGGCCCGCTGACCACGGGATTTGCATCGAACACGGCGTCGGCACTGGCTCCGGCCTTGGTGCCTGGTTCGTTGGTGCTCACAGTGGCCCGGTAGCCGTGCGCGTCAGCGACGTAGTTGACGCGACGGTAGAGCCCGTGCGCGTCCGTGTAACCATAGGAACCGGTCTTGACGTTGTTGGAATCGCTCTGCTCGTTGCGGAATTGCTTGTTGCCGTATTCGTCCACGGTGTCATAGCCAAAGCTGTACGGCTGTGGCGGCTGCGGAAAGATAGGAATGCGCGAAATGTTCAAAAGATTGTGTTTGTCTGGATTGCAAGTACATTTTCGAACACTGAAAGAAATACAAGTTTCATTTGGCGCAACCGTGAGTCGACATCAATCTCTTAAAGGCAACCTGCTTGTAGTTATTTTTTTTTATTTGAGCACTTGAAATGTCTAGCTATGAGGGCAAGTTATGTCCCAGTCTGTAAGAGGTATACCTTGGTTCATATCAGAAAGTTGGTCGTCCTCTGAGGTTATTAAGACACTTTACGAGCAATAAGATTAGTTCATAACAGATAGTTTTACACACTGATTTACAGTCCCAAGAGTGCGAAATTCAAAAGGTTCATGATCTATCTTTGTTCATTAGTTGTTTGTTTTGTTGTTGTTTTCTTCGCTGGAGACCGATCTTATTCTTTTCGAGACAATCTTGTCTCCGACGCGTCTTGGGTCCCCAGCTTTCTGGTACTCGACTCTGCAACGGATGGCTAGAACTTCCTGCTGTGTTTGCGTGCATTGAAAGCCTGCAGAAAAATGGGCTCAAGCCAGCTAGGATTTCACGGTTAATACGCTGGGTTGTGTTTCTGTTGCCATTAAAATTGCCTGTCAGTTTTCAGACTACCGTAAAGTCAAGAGGGTCAATGTTTCTGGATCACTCTACTATATAAATTCCACGCTCACGTAGGCTGCGTCTGCCAAAAAGGCCTTGGAGACGACTGGAGCTGCCGCAGCGGCGAAGACGTGTCCACCGCCGAAGCCTCCGTGGTGGAAGCCGAAGCGGCCCCCAGCGTAGGCCGAGGCGGCCACCATGAAGATGACGATTACCTTAAACAGAAATGTACAACATAAATGTCATTCTCTAATGGGTGGTCCACACGGACTTAATAAATTCTAAGTGAATATTTAAGATAAGGTAAATAATTAATTGTGTTCATAGCAAATTAGAGGATATTGCTAGTCAAAGTGGTCGCCCAACAGTAGGGGATAAGGTGTTTACACAGTTAAATTACCAATGATTCTACAGTGCAACACAGAAGAGGGAAGGGTGTAGGTAATCACGCAGGTAAACGAGTTTCTGTTTGTGTTCCGCACGTGCATTGACTGAATAATGTCCCCCCAAAAAAGCGAGTTCATGTGAGCCTGAGATCACTCAGGTTAACGGAGTTTAAACAACCTCGCATTGAGTGCACGGAGGATTGACATGCATTTTTATTACTAAAATACGTTGCATTTAATAAGCCAGAATATATTCTGAACATATTCGTTGGCGACATGTGTGAAAACATGTCGCCAACGAATTACCTATTACGTTTGTGGTTTGTCTCATTGTTAGAAACTGTAACAAGAAAATTTGCTTTCGAATGTAAGAGGAATTGTGCTGCGTTTATTATATGTTTACTCCGAAAAGTGAAATAAATATATATTCTGACATTGGTTATAAATATGTCGAAATATCAATAAAAAATAGACAGCACACTTTTAATCTTTTAAATGGCCCCACCCTTTTGCGTTTACTCACAGTGGCAAGGTCCATAGAGCCTTTTTATAAAATATTGTAGTCCATGTGAGCCTGAGATCTTTCATCTCGATAAACTGCAAAACAACCTCGCATTGAGTCCAATGAAGATTGATTGACATGCATTGGTATTATTAAAGGGGGGTGCAACAATTTTAAGATTAAAAGAATTTGAATCTCGTAATTTTTACGTTGTTTATTGTGTCTCGGAGGATAGAGAAAACATCTTCATAAAAAAATGTCGCAATTCCGCTGCATAATCGCAAAGCAAAAGTCGAGCTTTTTCCCCGACCCGCAGCCAAAGGGACTAAGGCGAAAAGATTGCGTGCCCTCGGTCGGCTCTAAGCTGCAGCATAACGCCCGCTAATGTAAGCGGAGAGATGTAGAGGAAGTGTCCTCCGAGAGACTACACGGGAGGCTACACGGCACCCCGAATTACATCACTAGGAGGGGGACCAGGTGTGACCCTGAAGACTGGAAGTGAGTTGAGGGGTGCCAAAAATGCCAATATTTATCTTTTTCTACGCAACAACAAGGACACGCAGGCGAAATCTGTTTTCTGTTTTTTACTTTAGAAGGGTCAAAGGGCAACTTCCACAAATGTTTGACCGAAGTCCAGAAATCATTGCACCCCGCCCCCTTTAAAACACTTTGAATTTAATAAGCTAGACATATTCTGACGTACAGGTATATGCGAAAACATGTAAGCAACGAATTACGTATTACTTTTACTGTTTGTCTCATTGTTGAAAATTATAGCAAAAAGCTTGGCTTTCGATTGTAAGAGGAATTGTATGTACTGTGTGAAAATTCTATCTGCAAGGGTAGCAATTTTTCGGAAAATTGTGTCCTCAGCCTTGTTATCTTGCTTCGTTTTTTTTTTTTTTTTAATGCAGAACGCGATGATTTGGCTTATGTGTGTTCTACAGAAAAATAGACGCAAGGGCCTTGTTCAAAGTGCGGCTATTATTCGAAAAGATACGGTAATTGAGTGAGCTGCTAAATAATTTCACGTCTCAAAGTTTCCGAGGTACATTATTAATGTGCTTTGAGTTTCTTTTATTTAACTACAGTGAAATGTTATTGAAATCCTTTATAACAAAATGCGTTCAGAGGCGATTGCTTAGCTATATTAACTTTCTTCGAGAGGTACTTTTTCAAAGTTTATAGGTGTATAAAACTGCACAAAGGCCTGGCAGACCGCGCGTGATTTGAGCATCACTTGGGAAGCATCAAATTAAGCTTTATGCAATTCTAAATAGCATGCAACAAAACTACTTTGATTGCAATTTTCTTTTTTACAACGTCGATTCTCGATATTCTCCAACTAGGCTGAAAATAAAAGTAGGAGCTCCATGTATTGGCTGGACCAACGGAAAATCCGTTTTTGCGTCTTGTAACTACCTGTGTTCCCAAAATTGGATTATAGAAAAAACAATTAGTGTTACTTAAATTTTAAAGCTTATTTATTTTCCAAGCTGGAAGCTTTCAGTCCAGTGCCAGCTAGAACTGAACGAAATCTATTTTGTTCTACTGATCAGCAGATGTGAGCATATCCCGTATCTACAACATGCCTCATATTTCGCTCCTGAACTTTAGGGCGTAGCTTGTGCTGCAGTCCGACTGGGAAGTGTGGTTGATATGCGTGACGGAGCTGAGAACCAATGACTCCAACTAGATTGTTCTTCCAGAGCTAATTGCGAGGCTACTTGGCAACCCATGCACCTACGTGCTGCGATTCTCAAGAAGAAAGAAAACCGGAAGTTATCCTGAAGGACCTCCGCCCTGTGTTCTAAGATCTTAATAAGATCGGTGTTCTCAAACCTTCTAGTCCCGGCAGTCTAGAAGATGCGTGTTTCATGGGTCCGTCTATATTCTCTCCAATAAGATGCTTTTTCTGTTGCCGCATTCTCAGGTACTTATTCTGCACGACGAAGTGCAGGTTTCGATTCAAGATCATTATTTTATAAGTCTATAAATACACTTTCACACCCTGGTGCAAGCTTCGGGGGATACGGCTTTAAACCTAGGTTACTGAAAAGAAGTTTAGGTGGCGGTAAGGACTTAACCTATGATTGAGATAATTTGCAAAGAAAATTCGCAAAGTTGCTGACAGGTCTGCAAACACTCGAGTTCACCCGCACCTACTTTTATAGAGATTGCGCAGAGCCGATCACACAGATCAACGAAGAAAAAACTAGGGTATAACGCAGCTAAACATATATTGTCCGGAACAAATAACCACTGATCATGTGGTTTCAGGTGCTCACGGTACACCACCGCAAATATATTTTTCCCCACAAACAGCTAAGAACATCAGGATCTAAATGATTTTTAGAGCACTAGACGCTTTGTTATTGAATTCTGATTACTCTTAGTATGTGATGCTCCGACGATATGGATGGTCCGATTATATAGCACTCTTTTAAGCTATCGGTCACTCTTAAAAGTGACCTACATTTTGTAGAAAAGAGCTGAATAAGCGTTGTCGGAGAAAAATTAGTTTACCGAATTTTAAGTATGTACAGTGCTCTGGCCCTTATTGGGGAGTTTTAGGGAACCGTGTTTGCACATCCGAAACGCTACAATAGGCCCTCAGGTACGGTCTGCGCATATACGAGTCTTCTGTGCTAGCGCATGCGCAGTTGGTACCGGAGGCACCATCGTACCGTATCGGATTCGCCAAAACGGTTCCCTAAAACTTTCTAATACTTTTTTACGGTAAACTATAAAAAAATATTGTAGGTTGTGTGTCGCAAATATAAGTTGCTTACAAGCGCTGAATTCAAGCCATTAAATTTATGCTCTATAATCAGTCAAGAGCAGGGTTCACTCATAAAAATATAGTTCCACGCACTGACTAAAATTAATCATATGATTGCAACTGATGCAATTTATGCGTTACAATTTGTCGCATTTGAAGCGCAATAAAGTAGATAGAATATAAATAACAGTTGGTAGTCTTGTAAGCACCGGACTAACCTCATCCTCAGTCAAGAAAAGGTTTGTATAACTCTTTCTAATGAATGGTAGTTTTTATTTTAATATTTCAACAATCATCACATAATTTGTTCCCTACAAATAGCTTCTAGTCTTCCTGTTGTTAGAGCGAACGGTTCTCCGGGTAAAAAAGAAAAAAATCGGCTCGGTGTAACATCCTGGAATGACAGCATTTTGGGCTAGTTCAAAATTACACAGACACGCAGCAATTTAGAACTCATATTATGCAGTGTGTAACGCACTGCCTAAATATGAGTTACCTACCTACTTAAGTAGACTCAAATCTTGTAATTTTTTATACACATCTGATCTTAAAATTGGTATACGTATCTGAAAATGACAGTCATTCGTCGTATTTTGTTTTTAGGCATTTTCTGTCTATATATCGAGCATCCTATATATGAAGCAATGATGAAATTATTTACATTGTATTAAATTAAGGTGGCATTTTTTATTCAACATAATACGTAGCGAAGCTAAGTCTACCAGAGATAGTGGTAAGGCACGTCTGTTAGCGTTAACGTAGATGGTGGGAAAAAAAAAACTATTTTTGAATGAACGTTTTAACTGTTCCCTCAATTCGAGGTTGCAATTGGAATTGTTTAATTTGTAACAAACGCGACCGCACAAAGTTATTACTTATATAATATGTTTTGTTTCTTATTTGTGGGAACGAGAAGAACCGTTAGTATTTTGGACTGTTCAACTTGTCCGACGGGTTATTTATGCTTCGTGTTTTCTAGCTCGGAACTTTGGCTCCTAGCGCGAAACAGCTCATGACACCGTCATTAGTCGTTTTGCTTTGTATCCCAAAAAGGCTCAAAATATTACAGAAATGGGTCGGTTAGTGGTATGGCGACCAATATCAATCAAACAGCTAAATTCATGGAACTAATTCGGAAGCAAAAGATCACTTCCTAGCTGGACCTTCGCGTAATAACAATATTATAGTGATTGACAACTTAAGAAACGCAGGCGTGACTTATTATCTTGACCCTCGTGTTTCCTGATTTGTACTTGGGAGTTCCTCTCTACTAATGCCACAACTTTATTAGATCCGGAGCGATAGTAAGATTCTCGGGTCTGGCCTCGTCCCGTCTTTCTTAATCTCTGAGTAACTACTAATGGTATCTCACCTTAGCGATCATGGCGCTGCGAAGATCGAACAGTGCGAGAGAGATGTCACAGGAATCGCAGAGACAATCGCAGACGGCGGTGGTTTTGTTTCTCGTAAGTCACAGAGGTGGGCTCCGAGGTGTCGAGCTGCTTGCAACGAAAATCGCCGGTCCACAGGAAGCAGTGAAAGCTGTTGTTG